ATAATATAATGTATTATGCTGTGATTGTTGTTTGATGGAACGAATGATATTTTATTGTTATTATTATTATTATTATCATGCATCAATCATTAATTGATTGCTATTGGTGTTGATCTGATCAGCTTGAATCACTTGTTGTGGTTGTTGTTTGACAACATTATGAACGATGACAAAATAAATGACAGTAAATTTGTTGTTTTGATTGTTATTATTATTATTATTTTTCAATTTACATCATCATCCGTTTGATTAATAATTATTGAATCTGATATGTTTGATCAACACCGAATATTTTTTTTGTTCAACGGCTAATAGGCGGTTGAGAATGTATCCGAATCTTGTTGCGATTTTTTTGTTGTTTTAGTTGCAATATAGAAAATATTCTTGAAGTAATTCTGGAAAAGATTTGCGAACCAATCAATAGATTTGGTTGTCGTTGATAATAATTGTTTTCTCATTCAAATACTACTGTTGATCATTATCGATAGTAANAAAAAAAACCACATATACGAATCATATCCGATTATTCTTGTCGGTTGTCTGATTTTGAATCATTGTTAGTCATGAATACATCTGAAAATGATTTAAAATTTTCTAAACATAATTTATGAAATATCTTCAGCCAATATTGGTAATAATTTTTATTGTATTCGATATTCATATTTGTCCACCATGTTTATTATGGTTAATTTGAATTTCGTCATCGTATAGTTTATTTTGACAACTTTCAATAAAAAATTTTGAAATGTTTGAGATAAAATTACTCATCGATATCATTCGATGTATTCATACATGAAATATGCATTCGATTTTTTTTTTTTTATAACAGTTTCAATTGTTCAATACCATTTCCTTCATTATCGAGTTGTCCAACCATATTCTTGACAAATAATATTATGATGTTAAACCATCGGTTACAATGATATGATGGAAGAAATCAAAATTATGATGTTCTTTAGTCATTTCGGATACTTTAATGTTGACATTGAATTCGATAGATTATTATTAAAATTTATAATCAAGTATAGATTCTGAAATAATTTGATAATTTCTTGAATATATTTTAAAGATAAAATTTAGATTTTGACCATTATGATGATGATGTTGATACATCTTGGTTCAATAATAGTGGATTCAATAAAATTATTATTATTCAATAAAATTAAAATGGGTATTTTGATTAACTAATCCACTTTGGAGAAAACAAGTAGTAAACAATCGGATTTTTTTTTTTTATTCGGTTCCTTTGCCCTTAGTTGTTTTCATTTTCACCTCTCTGTTTGCTGTTGATCATCATGATCTTAACATTGTTAACAAGGGCATTTTAATTAAGATCCAAATGGAATATTCAATAAGGTCATAAATCTATCAATTGCTTGATGCATTTCTCAGCGATTCATCGGTTTAAAATTCTTTTTTTTCAGAATATACTGAATTAAGCACAAGATAAAAACGAAATTCACTGTAGATGAGTGTGACTTATGAGTCAACAATGATCATCAAAATAAACAGTGAAGCTGATGAGGTGGTTTAATTTGATTTTTTTTTTTTTGTGTTATGGAACTTATTGAATTGAGCACAAGATAAAAGGAAATTCACTGTAGATTAATGTGACTATGAGTCAGCAATGACTGTCGATTTTGGTAGTGAAGTTGGTGAGATGAATAGATTTGGTTATTTGTATTTGTAAAAAATGTTTATGAATGAATGTCATTTGAATGTCAAATGTGTCACCAAAATTTTATGTTAATATAAAATAACTTTTTTATGAGTTGGTGATGATGGGTTTTGAGTTTGTTGGCCACGTGGTTTTATCCAACGTGGAAATTGTTTTTCATGCATAAGTTGGTATCGAATAATTATTTTTTTTAAAAAAATGGATAGGTATTGGGAAATATTGGATTTTTTTTTCTGACACATTCTTCCCCCCACTTGGATAGCTGTTTTCTAAGAAAAAAAAAAGAAAAGAGAAAAAAAAAATAGAAAGAAAAAGAAAAGGGAGAGAAGAAAAAAAAACTCATTTGGGAAAGTGTAGTTTATTTTATTAAAAAAAAGAATCATGATATCTTAGCTGATGGATTGGAAATCCTGATGAAAAATTCATCTGAAATGATGAAATGGACCAAGGGTAATTGTGAGGTTTCGGTGAAATAATCCTACTGGCTTGTAAAAACATACAAAAATACGACTTGTCAAGTGAGAGTCAAAAACCAGACTGATTCATTTTTATTCATTTCTTTTAAAGTATTTTAAATAAATTCTTTTCATAAATAACGTGATGTTTTTCATCCATTTACATATTTTTCGTTGATATTCTTTCCTAATAATAATGATTTGTTTGTTTGTTTGTTTGTTTGACATTTATAATTTCATTATCATTATCTCATCTTGGTTATCATTATCGATTATTGAAGGTATCTCAATCTGACAATCGGAAAACGAACAAAAAAAATGCCAAGTCGTATTAGATCGATCAACCAGATCAAGTTTTATTTTTCGATTTAATTTTTTAAAAATTCAAATTTTCAAATTTCAATCTTCAGTTTCCCATCAATTATTGATTCAAACCGGTCCAAGAAAAAAAAATTCATTTTGTCTGTCTGTCGTTCTCTGAATGCTGCTCCAGTTATCTGCAGCCACAGAAAAATAAAGCAAAACAAAATCTCATTTGCATAAAAAAAACCACACATAAAATAGGATCACAAGATAAATTTAGAAAATTTATTGAAAAGTTTATTGAAAACCAAAAAAACTTTTCAATAAATTTTTGTAAAAAAACTAATCACTCTGTCTCTTGATGATCCAAACTTGTTTAAAATGATTGCAATAATGTTGGTGATGATGATGATTTAGGCGACGATTAACGGCAATTGTCACGAAATATTTCAATTATTTCAACAACTACAACAACAGTAGTAGAAAAAGCAAACACCTTGTATCATTTAAATATTTTTTTTTTTGAATAGAAAAAACATCATCAAACTTGTTGAATTATGAATTGAATTGAAAAAGTTTTTTGGACAAAATCTTTCCGAAAATTTTCTTCATTTTTTTCTCGGATTATGATAATGATGATTATCCTCCCCCCAAAATGTTTCGGATGACTTGATTGAACACAAGTTTTGAATTTAATGATTTTGTTGGTTGTTTTTTTTTCGGTTGCTGATTGTTAATTAGCAATAAAATTTGAATTTTTTTTATTTGAAAGAAAAAATATCGATCTAATTCAATTCACGACCCATAGCCTGGACAGCCAAAAGATTTTAAATCAGATCAAAATGAGAAGGAAAAAGCAAAATTTTGTTTTTTGAAACAAAATTTTGTCCCAAATTTTTCTGAATTCAATTTTTTGTTTTCGACTTTTGTAATGCAAATTTTCTTTTCTGTTGAAATTGATTTCATCAAATTTTTTTTCTACCAGTTTTTCTTCTGTATTCTTATCATATGCAAATTTCTTTTGACGACGACTACGATATTTATTTCTGAAATGAATTTCATCAAACATCATTTCATCACACAATCACACACACACACACACATAATAATAGCTTCAGTTTGAAGTTTTTTCGGTATAATTTGTTTGGTTGGTTATTTTATCACTGATATCATTTTTGTATCATTTTTGTTTTCAATGATCTGATCACAGAAAGAAAATTTGTTTCTTCACTTTTTTTTCTTTTTCCATCCAAATTTGACAGCTGCTGTTTCTGTTGTTGGCTAGATGCTTGGTGAAATATGAAACTTTTTTGTTTTGTTTTGTTTTGTTTTTTATCATTTTTCCTAAAGAAAAATAAAATAATAAGATTCATTGTTGTCCAGGGTTTTCGATTCTTGAATTTGTTTGTTTTTGAAGAAATACGAACGGACACCGACCCCGGACATTGTTGATGATGATGATGATGGTAGTGATATGATCAATCAGTCAATCATTATCATTTGTTTTTTTCATTTCCAAATTCCAGGATTTTCAGGATTGTCATTGAATTAAGTTTTATCATCATCATTTTTTTCATCATCATTGATTTTGAATTAAACAAAACAAAACAAAACAGTTTTTCCATTGATGGTAACCAATATGAATTATCATTTAAATTTTTCTTCTTCTTCAATGGCCACACATTTTCTTTTGTAATGCAGATGATGATGTATGAAGTCTTTTTTTCACCTTTTTTTTCAAAGGAAATTTTTTTATTCAACCATTTTTTGATGATAATGATGGTGGTGGTGGTGGTATTATTTTGAAAAATGTTTATGATCGTGACCCATACTCAAACTTTCACCTGTATGTCATATCCAAACATTTTTTATTTTTTGGCTACTGTTTTGTTACTTTTTTATTGTTAAAACCTAAAGCTATTTGGGTCGAAATAGATCTGATATACTATGTTCACAAATATTATCAATAATCGATTATTATGATCCGATTGATTGATTGATTGATACATTAGAAAATGGTGTGAAAATATACAAAAAAAGAAACTACCTACTTTGAATGGCTGGTGGTTGTTGTTGTGAGATTTTATTTTTTTCTTGCAGAAAAAAAATCACCTTTTTTTTCTTCGATCATTGATAACAATCATTGATCGGATCAGATACGATAATCTACTTTAATGTGTGTTTGTGTTTGCTTGTTCTGTTCGTGTTTTGATTTCTTATTTTACACCATTTTTTTTAATACAACAAACATTTCCTCTATTCGCAGAGATTTGAACAACAAATTTTTTTGTTTCCATTGTCAATTCAATTGTTAATGTCTTGTTTTGTTTTGTTTGTTTTCTATATTCTCAGGTGAAAATGATGATTTTATTGATGAAAATACTAATAATAATGATAATCAACGTCATCATCATCATCATCATCATCGTAGATCGATAAATCCATATAAAACTGCCATGATCAACGATCAACAACAACAACAACAACATTCATCGATTATTGATTCTGATGATTTTAATCAACAACAACAACAACAACAATCATTAAATGTAGATAAATTAAAACAATTACAACAATTTTATAATAAATTTAATTTGATGCAACATTTGGATGGTGGACAACAGCAGCAACAACAACAATCAACTTTATCATCATCAAAATTGAATCCATTTGCCGAATCAATGTTGTTGTTACAACAACATCATCAACAACAACAACAATTGGAAAAATTTCATAAATCTAGTCTATTGTCAGCCGCGAATTCAGTTCATAAAAGTAATAATGATGATGATGATTTAACATCGAACGGTAATAATAATGATAATTTATCATCGACAACATCGATGTCAATGGTAAATAATAAATCAGAGATTAAAATTGTAAGTTTTCATTCAATCAAATCATCATCATTTTTCATCATTTTTCAATAACAAATTTTTTTCTTTGAATTTGAATGAAAACGCTGAACTCCAAACGCAGGACAATATAACCTATGTAAAAGATTTATTCCGTAACAAAGTGATCAATGCAAAATCATCATCCAGACGACCATTAAGTTCATGGAAACAATCAATTAATGCATGTGGTCCTGGACCAGCACCATGGATCGAAAAAAGTACATTACATTCATTGGGTATTCAAGGTAAGTGTTTGTATTATCTGCCAGTGTAAATATAAAGTGGGGGTGGTTAAGTTGATGATGTTGATGGGGAAAAATTGTTGTTTTTTTTCCTGAAAAATTTTCCCTTTTGTAAATGAACAAAAACGAATCTAAAGAAAAAGAATGGAAACAGCATCAATACAATTTAAAAATTGAAAAGTTTTGGGAATTTTTTCTTCATTCATTCATTTTTGTTGTTTTTTAATGAGAAATTTTTCATTTTTGCCAACAAAAAAAAAATGATCAATTGAAATTTGATTATCAATGAAAAAAAAAACGTTTTTCTTGCTTGGCAATCTGCAAACAGACAACAACGAGAACAACAACAACAACAACAAAAAATCCAATTCATTTTTTCTTTGGCTGGCTGTAGATTTATTAATCGCGTTGACAGTGATCGATCTATTTCGATCAACTGCAAAACTGAATGACAATTTGATGAATCTATAGCATTGGATTGAATGAATGAAGTAGGGATGAAAGTTAATAATTTTTTTTTGGAAAAAAGCAAAATTTGAAATGAAAAAACTCTATAATAGGTGATTTTCATTTTTTCTTCGTTGTTTGCCATTCATTAAGTTATCATAAATCGAAAAAAGATGTTAAATAATGAATTTTGCGATGGGGAGGGAAGAACATTGTCAGTGTTTGTGCTTGGTGAATGTATTTTGCTTAGGAAATTTTTTTTAATTTAATGAAAAAAAATGAATTGAATTGAAATTGAAATGGAAGAAAACAAAAGAATTTCCAAGAAGAAAAAAATGAATTTTTTTCTTCCAAAATGTTGTGGCCACAAGTAGAGAGAGATAAAGCAAGAGAACATCTTTGGTCATTTGTTTTGTTTTGTTTTGCTTTGTTTTTTTTGGCTGAAAACAAAACGAAAATTGAATGAATGAATTTCAGTTTAGGTTTTTTCCTTGGCCAAATCAAATGAATTTTGTAAAAAACAAAACAAAAAAAATTTCCATTTCCCATCATCATCATCATCAGGTAAAATGATGATGATGATTGGTCACCTGCAGTTTTCCTTTTCACATCATTTTTTTTAAGGAATAAAATTTTAAACAAAAAATGATTTTTTTTTGTGGTTACAAAATTGACATCCATATGTTTTGTGTGTTTTTTTCAAACAAAACAAAATGAACAATAACAACAACAAAAATGAAAAATCCATTTTCCTATCGGATGTTTAAAATCTTTTACCTGAGACTTTTGTTGAAAAAAAAGGAGATTCGTAAAGATATGATTGATTCTCTATCTTTTCTGTGTTTTTTTTTTCGTTAGGAGAAAGAAAAAAATAGATTGTATCCGATTATTTTGTATCTTAATTGATGGAAATTTCTTTTTCTTTTCGTTTTGTTTCTTGGTTTTGTGTGTTTTGTTTTGTTCAACGACCACTTGTTGAATTTGAAAATAGATTTTTCTCTTTTTTCTTTCGTTTGATTTGCATCGATGTTGTTGTTGATGATGATGATAATGATCAGAAAATGAACGAACCTAGGATTGTCCATTTTTTTTTATTGTTACCACTCGATATTTGTTTTTGTGTGTGTGGTTGGCTATTGATTTTGATTTTGTTCCGGCCACTTGAATTTGATTTTTTTTTGCTGCTGCTGCTTGATTGTAGATTATGGATTTTTTTCTACTTTGAGGGAAAGAGAGTGGTGGAAACATAATCTTTAAATTTTTTTTCCATTATTCATTCTTGATAAAATGCGGTTTCTATGTGTGTGTGTGTGTGTTTGTCAATCAAATCAATTCATCACATCTATGAAAATTTCTAATTTTTTCTTTATTTTTTTTCCATTTTCAAAATCTTTTGCATAAATAAAAATATTTTGAAAAAAAATGAACAACAGGTGAATTGATCAATAAATCCTGTCCAATCGATTATACACATTACGTTAAACGGTATGTAAATGTTTTTCTGTTTGTTTGTTAATATTTCTTCTATTTTTAATTTTTGATTTTTTGAATCAATTTTATTTTATTTTCAGATATGCAAATGCAAATGAATGTTGTAATAAATTATGTAAAGAATTATCATATCGTGAACATTTTCATTGTAATGCATTATCATGTAATTCACGTGTTTTTATGAAAAAAGAAGAAATGATTAGACATTTTAAATGGCATAAAAAACGTGATGAATCATTAACACAAGGATTTTTACGTTGTTCACCGGGTGATAATTGTATTGAACGTTTTAAAAATTGTCCACATCATCGTAAACAAACACATTATCATTGTTTAAAACGTGGTTGTGATAAAGTTTATATTAGTACATCCGATGTACAGATGCATGCAAATTATCATCGTAAAGATACAGCTATTATACAGGAAGGTTTTCAACGTTTTCGTGCAACTGAAAATTGTCTATTAGAATGTTGTGCATTTTTCGGTCAAAAAACAACACATTTTCATTGTCGTCGTGATAATTGTTTGCATACATTTAAAAATAAAGCTGATATGGGTAAGTTAACAATTCTCCCAATTACACATTATAGGTGAAAACCTTATTCTTCTTTAATCCTATTGATTTTCATCATCATCATGAAAAGCCAAAAAGAATTGATGTTTTGTTTCGAAAAAAACATCAAAAATTTCTTCTTTCTCAATCCTCGTTCAACATTCCAAAAATTTAGTTAGTTAGTTTCAACATACAAACAATTCATTCATTTCCAATCTAAACTCATGTCAAGAGCCACCGAAATCTTATTTTCTTTTTTTTCGATTTCAATTTTTCAATTGTCCTGGATATCTTTTAGATTTTCTACATTTTTTTCAAATGAATTTTTTTTTAGAAGAAAAATTCTCTTTTCATTTAATTCCAACCGTTTTTTTCATTCAATTTTTTGATTGATTGATCGAATATAATTAAAATGTCTTGTAGCATCATTTTTTAGTTTTTTTAGTTGTTTTCTCATTGTTTCATTATCATCGGATTTTTTTTTGCTAAACTTTTTTTCTCATCTAATTTGATTCGAATCGATTTTGATGATGATGATGCTGGGTGATCGAAATAAGATTGAATCGAAAAAAGAAAACATTGAAATCAATTCAGTTCATTGAATAATTGAAACGAAATCAACAACAACAACAAAAAATTTGTTATTAAAAAAAACCAAAATTGCCTCAAGAATTTTTGATTTCGATCACATCGTTGAAATCAAAAAGCTACACGAAAATGAATGAATATATAGAGAGAGCTATTAGGTGAATGTTTTCTTTTCCATTTTCATACAAGATTTTTGAGAGGGGGGTGAAAGGCTGATGATCTTGATTGATTCGCGAATGATAATAATGATGATGATGATGGTCATTGCCATTGCAAAATGACTACATTTGAAAAATTTTTCATTTCAAAAATAAAATGTTGAAAAAAATTTCCATATGAAAATCATTATTTTGAAAGATGATATGTTTGAATCGATGGTAAACATCATGCCTGTTTATTTTCTCTTTGATTTGGTCTACAGAATTTACCATTATTTTTGATAATGATAATAATGATGATGATGATAATCGTTTGGACAATTATAATTCATCTGATTGTTTTTAATATTTTTATTTCTCTTCTTCTTTTTTTCACGAATTTAGAAAAACACAAATCATATCATGTACGTGATGAACAATTAGCTCGTGATGGTTTTAAAAAATTTTTAAAACATGAAACATGTCCATTTGATGATTGTCGTTCATCACGTGTCTGTAATCATATTCATTGTGTTCGTTCGGGTAAGTTTTCTGCTTTTCTTTTTCTTTTCTAAATTTCTTTTCTCATTTTACAAAAACAAAAATAATAATATTTATAAATTAAAATCAAGGATGTACACATATATTACATTCAACTGGACAATTATATCCACATAAACGTAAACATGATCGTTGTGAAAAAGAATTAGCATATCGTAAATATTTACTTGCACAATCAATACATCGTACAAATCAATTTACTCAAAATAATAATAACAATAAAGAAACAACAAATGGTTGTGATACAATACAAAATAGTGTTATACAGAATCGTCTGTCAACATTATATGGTATCGATCTGGATATTAACCTGTTGAATATAGAGGTATTTTGTTGCTTTTCCATGTTTACTTTATCGATTTGTAATTTAATTTGATAAATTTTTTTTTCTTTTTGTGTTTAAAATCCCCCCAAAAAACAGAGTTTTGAACAATCATTATTGAATAAAGATGATGATAATGTATTTGATGAAATACAAGATCAATTACCATTATTGGCTATGAGTACAATACCGATTGAAGATATTATTGATGATGATATAACTGATCGACGTTGTGCTAAATATATACAAAGGTAAATTTTTTGGAAAACTATTTTTTTTACAAACAAACAAACAAACAGCAAACAAAAATACATGTCTTTTCCACTTCTCGATTCCATTACATATATACGAATCGCCATTATGATGATCATCATACAAGATGATCAAATTACCTGAATTGATCATTAACCTACCCACCCATCAGTATGTTTGCGCCTGTATCTGTAGTTTTCATTCATTCCGTAATACAATCATATCTCGTGATAATTTTGATGATGATGATTATTATTGTCCGATGGTCGAACAAAATGAAAAAATAAAAATAAATTATGTTCCCCCCACCACCACCACTCTACCCATCTTTCACCATAAGTCTGGAGAAAAAACAAAACAAAACAACAAACCTAGTGTCATTACACCTACAATCATCATTTTGTTTATGGGATGCTAAATTGTTTTTTTTGAGGAGAAAAAAACGTTTTTTTTTTCTCCTAAAAAAATGAAATTCCGAATCAAATAATGACCATTATCAATGATATTCTTATGGAAAAAAAATTATATAATTATTAAATGATAATAATCATCATATATAGAGAGAGATTTAATATGAACTTGAACTTGAATTCGAAAAAAAGATGTTCATTGTCAATTCAAATTACATCATGATCATGATTTTTCTTTTTTCTTTTTCCTGAAATTATTATTATTATTCGATAGAATTGGATATTTTTTCATTTGATTTTTTTGTTTTGTTTTGTTTGTTTCTCTTGGTTGAAGAAAATATCATTCATTCATTCGATTCAATGATGATTAAGTTTCCTTGATTCGACAATTTATTTCATGTTTAGAAATGAAAAGTAAAAAAAAATATTTTAAAATTCAGTTGTTTTCCTTTCCATTTTTCTTTCCTGATTGTAATCATTATTCTCGTTTTTTTATTTTTCGGCCAGAAACAAAACGATAATCATCATCATTTTTTCCATTTCGTTGTTAGCAAAAAAATGATGACGGCAGATAAGACAGGATTCGAATTTCTTTTCGAAATTGTAATTTTATAATTACATACTTCTCTCTCTCTCTCTCTCTCTCTCTCTCTCTCTCTCTCTCTCTAAATAATGACCAGGAAAATGTTGTCGTTGTTG